CTATTGGAGGCTCAGGGCTTGGAGATGCAACCACCTCAGCAGGGCGGCGCCCCCAGCTGAGTTAAGCTGCAACTGCCACTGCGTCCCGGGGCGAGTGCAGGGCCCCTCACTGCGCAGCCCGGGGCGGCGTCGGCTCCCGATGCTCTGAGCTCATCCTTGCTCCCGATTCCCCGCATTGGTAGCTCCTAGTGTCCTGAGGCCCTGCGCCCCCTTACAGAAAGCCAGTTCCGGAGTCGGACCAGTATTTCCGATTCCTAAATCAGGGTGGGGCCCTTAGGGCCCATATTTAAAAGCCGCCCTCCTCCCCCACTGTCATCCCAAGGGACACAGAGGCTAGGCCAGACTAGAAGCCGGCCATCTGTTTACAGATTAGAAGGATCTTCCTCCCCAGAATCTTTTACCGAACTACCCAGGGAATGCCGGGCATCGTTCCGAGGGTACACCAGTGCCAGGGGCTAGAAGGAAAGTTGGGGTTCAGAGAAAGGAAGAACCCTCTAGAAACTTAGTCCAAAAGCTCTCAAAGCCAGAGGGGGTTAAGTGCTAACCTGAAGTTACAGATAGGTACCTGCTCTCCGGATCCAACCCATTCTGATGTCCCTTACCCTTTTTCAGGCCACTGACCCCACCCCGTTCCTCCAGCCGCCCGCCTGGGCCTCATGAGCGTAGGCCTGATGCAGCCACCTTTTACCAAGAGCAGAGTTTGGTCTGAAATTCGGGAACCTATTTAAGAATCAAAGTGTTTTTCAGCGCGAGTTTCCAATCCAGTGTTTATCTACAGAGTTAGAACTCCTCAGTTGTGTGCCTGTATTCAGCGTTGCTGAAATTTATGTACAGTGTCCTCAGCTCGATTTCTGGAAAATAAAAATGTGAAAGTGCCTGGACCTGGAGTGGCAGGCACCCACCTGCTCCCGTCCTCAAAATGCACAGACTGATCTCTTTCCAGCTAGCAAGTATATTTTAAAATAATTATAATCTTTTAAACCTTAAAATTTTTGTCTGCAAATACAGTGATGCACAATTCAAGAAGCACTTATTTCTTAGCGGCCATTCAAGGTTATGTATTGGACCATGGTTTCCAATGTCTGCAAAATTAACCAGACTATTTAGAGAAACTATAAGAAACCCTTACTTGTATTCACCAATCTCATTTTCCAACTTGGTGCAATTTCTTTTTCTACTGTGTAACCACTAAAGTGAATTTGGGGGTATTTCAAGGGTCAGTTTAGGGAGACAACTGAAAAGCAGTACCTCAGAAAAGGTTTTTAAAAAATATTTATATACATAAAATATGCTTTCCAAAACGTCCCTGTCAAACAAGTAATATTTGCCATAACTTTTAAAATAGCAAATATAACCATATTTGGGGGGGCTCCTACCCTTTTTTGGGGGTCAAGGTTACAAGTGTCCCTTGTTTCTGCGGCAATATCATAACGACTTCGCAGAGACGTGAACGTCTAAATGTGGTAATAAAATGAGTCTAGGGTAATATTACATTATCTAAGTTATTGGAAGTAGAAAATGTTAGTATTTCCTAAGACAATTGCATGTCCCTAGATAACTTGTGATTTTCAGTGACAGAGTGAACATCAGATTTTGTATCTTGATTATAAATATACCCTTCATCCTGACCTTGGAAACTGAGCAAAATCCATGTCTGTGAGCTTTGTGCAACGATGCATATGGGACATGCGAGCATGTGAAAGTGTATGTGTGCATCCCTAGCGTCTGCAAAAAAATGAAGAGAAGGGTGGTGGACAGAAATCATTTTAGTTTTGATAAGATGCTCAAACATCCTGGAGCAGAGAAGAGTTACTAGAGGAGTTATCCGAAGGCAGGGTGGAAGTCTGTGCCAGAGCAAGTGTCGGGGCCGAGGCGCTGAACCCCGGCTCGGCTGTTTGCACCGGAATTCCACCATGCGCTCACTGGTTCTTTTACAACGGAAGGTTCACCTTCTGTAGTCTTGATTTTGCCTTTTGCGGGGAGGGGTCAGAAAGCTCTGAGATGCGCCTTCCCCCTTCTTTCTGGGTGCGTGCAGCATGCTGGACATTGCGCGCACAGGCGCGTTGGTTCCCGAATCCACCCGGCTGGCTCCCCGCGACAACTGGGCTAAAGTCACGGACGCCTGCACGTCCTGGCGTCCGGGGTCGAGGGCAGGTTCCATGAAGGCAGCATCCTGGGTTGCCCCAGAGGTGGCAGGAACTCTCGAGGGAACGGTGTCGCCATCACACGAGGCTGTTGGCCCTGATTGGTAGGGGAAGGAGGAAGATGCTTGTTTGCAGCCGGGCATGGGTTTTCTCCCACATCAGGATCGTATTATGGGTGCCTGAGGTTCCAGAGGCTAAGTGGCGGCCTAGATATTGTAAGGGTCTCTATTTGGGGTTAGTGGGTCGCCCGTGCCCGTCTCTTCCTTTCTCGGGTTTTTCTCCTTATATTGGCAAAGTGGATGGTAGGATTAGTCTCTAAGCCTCAAGAAATTCATTTAAAATTTCCCATGCTAGAGGCGAACGCAAATCCTCAGAACACGTGGGAGGCACCTGAAGTTCCGGTTCACGGTTTACGCCTCCGGCTACAGGGCGGGTGGGGGGCTGGCAGGCGGGGTCGCCGGGGCGGTGGGGGGTGTAAAGCCGGGTCCCTGCGCCCGGGCGGGGGAGTGAGGGAGCCGCATTCCGGCTCCAACCTAGGTTCAAAGATTAGAAAAACAGGTGTTACGTCGTCATGCTAATTCACTCTCTCGGTAAACGCGGCTCAGGCAGTTGTGTGCTGAGGACTTAGCGAGAGGCCGTCACCTCGTGGTCGTGCATTCACTTTGTTTATTAAACGACATCTACTCGGTTCATTGACAACTGAGCTTCATTGGGACATTGGAACAGCCCGCCCAAAGGCCCCCTCCAGCCCCCCCCCCCCCCCCCCCCCCCCCCCCCCCCCCCCCCCCCCCCCCCCCCCCCCCCTCCAGGACATCAGCCTTAAGCGTGAAGACTTCCTTACTCATTTTGCCCATCTTACTTCTGAAGGCAAGATTACTGCATTTCTTCCTCTGGAAACCCAGCATTCCCTGACTCCCTACACCCCGCCCCCCAAAAGTCCCTGCTGTGTACACAGGTTACAGACTCCTGAGAGGCACTTCTACACCGGCATGTTGTTCTAAGTAGACATAGGGTTAGCATAACCAGACTTGACTGAAATCCTCTTTAGAACACAGTCGAATAAAAAACCACCTCTTAACCCTAAGTGTCATTGCTTCGCCTGGCAGCTATATCTGACACTGTTGGAGGGGAGAGGAGGGTCAAGAAAGGTTATTTCCCTTCTCCACAGGCACCCTCCACCCCCCGACTTTACATGTAGTAGCCAACTTGACTTTATCTGATCTTTCTGAAATCTTGTGTATAAGTGAGCCACAGTGCATCTCTCGCTATCTTCGTAGCTATCTCTTGTTAAAAGTACAACACTGGGTGGTTGGAAGCCGCCTAGAACCAGGTCTCTAAGTCGCCTCAGCCATTGGGGAAATGACTCCTCCTGGATTGGAGTCCATTAGCTGGATTCCAGTTTTGAAAGACCTATAAAATCTCCCTGCTTCTTTTTCTTTCTATTCAAAACGTTTACCTCCTCCAGCCAGGTGTTGCCCAGATGTGTAAATAACACCAGAAAACTCCTGTTGTCCTTCTACGACGATCTTACTGCCATCGGGCGGCAAGGAGGTGGCAGATGTATTTTTGAACAAACATTCTTAAAGTTGTTCTGAATATCAGCAGAATGGCACACACCCCTCTTCAAAGTATTTATTTTCTCAGTGGCAATTAGCACCATAAACGAGAGGATGAGTGACCTGTCACTGGTGTTCTCACAGATTTTTATGGCAGATGAAGCAACTGCCTCCAAACGCACCACCAGGAGCCGAATCTGGTCACCCGCAGTACCAAAACCAAGCCGGGAATCGAGTCTGTAGGGGGTGATTCGTGAGCACAACAACTGGTTTTCGGACGAGCTGACTTTTTCTTGATGCTATCTGTTGTGTTTTCTCAGATGAGAGAAAGAAAAGGCGTTTCAAATTAGAGGATCTCTAAGAGATAATTAGCAAGAATCCTGGCAAGCGTTTGTTTAAACAGCTCCTATTAGGGAACTGTGAGCATCGTTAAGTTTATTCATGAAGACTATCTTTTCTGTAAGGAATATTCATGTTGGACCTTTGTTTTCTTAAACAAAACCCGACAAAGAGTTGGTTGATATTTAAGATAACGGACTGTCGTGAGCTACGTATCTCTACATATCAATCACTCGAATTCTATTTTGTCATCAAATGTAACCTCTTCCCCTAATGTCCCCCTCGCTGCTCCCCATAGGAAAACTCCCCGGCCGAGCTTTCCACGGTGAAAATAATCACCCCGCAAACCCAATCCATTTCGAAAAAGACGCACTTCTTTGGGATTAAAGACAGTTATTGTATTTATTTCCTCTGGCAATGAATTCCGTGTCACCACGGCTTCAGAGAAACGAGAAAGAGAAAATAAACCCCCGAACCGGCCTCGCGCACGCGGTCTGCCCGCGACTGCCCACGGGATGGGCCTTTGGGTGAACCCTGACTCCTCGGCGGGGAGACCCAGTCAGCCAGGCCGACCTCGGCGGCCTTCGGACGTCCCCGGCTCTGCGGGGCCGCCGCGCTGGACCAAGCGCTCAACCACCCAACTCGGGGGAGCCGGAGGAGCGCGGGTTGCGCCCAACATAGGGAGGGCCCGGGAGGCCGCGAGCAGCGGCGGCAACCTGACAGCGCCGACCCCGCACCCGGGGCTCATTAGGAGCGCAGCGGCAGCGCTGGTGGTAAGATCCAGAGCCCCGAGCCTGGGTGCGCGGGGGGCGGTGCGGGGCCGACTCGCGTCACTCAGCCCTATTGGCCAATGAGCGCCTCGGCCCGGTGGTCGCGCCAGGCCAATGGGAGGCTAGGAGGCTGGTGAGTGGCATTGAGGGAGGCGGGAGAGAGGCGGCCCGGGAGTGAAGTTGAAGCTAAATCCTTAAGCTATAAAGAAGTTACCGGGGGCAGTTTTCGGCTTCCAATTAGGAATAATAGTGAACTGGCTTCGTAGCAATTACGGAGGACCAGGTTTCTAAAATCACTCGTCCCAAAGCTTACATCCTCCTCTTTCTGCCACGCACCCCTCCCCCAATTCATGATCCAGAAAAGGGAGCCGGGAATGCTCTGCTCCTCTCTGCCGGTGGGAAGCGGAGAGGCCGGCGGAGTCGCTGGGTTGGACGGTAGGCATGAATACAGTTAGGAGATGGGCGCCCCCGAACCCTCTGCCGCCTGTGGGGACTGAAGGTAGGTGAAGCAGAGGATACCTCGCGCCCGCCCAGCGGCCGCGCAGCTCGGCTGCGGTGCGGAAGAGGCCGCGGCGCCTCCCACCCCCTGGGTGGCTGCGAGGGGCTGTCTCGAGCGCGCCACCTGTTAACCTGGCGCTGCCGGGCCCCGCTTGTTGCCGCCCCTGCTGGGCAGCCAGAGCGCTAGGTCGCCTTGGGAGTCCCGAGGGACTTGGTGTGTGTCACTTTTTGAGGAATCCCTCAGACTTGAGATCCAAGTTAAAGAGGTAGCCAAGGTCCAGACCTGCCAAGGTCGGGAGCTGAAGGCCCCGACGCGCCGAGGAGAAATTCTGATTTGCAGAAACCTGCTTCTCTGGGACGGGCGCGGGCTCGGGGACCCGCGGAGAAAAGTCCACTGCGGGTCTTCGAAAATATGCATTTTGTTGTTTGGGCAGCTTCCAGGGGGTCTGGAAGAGGTGACTGGCATGGGTGAGGGCATGCCAGCATTATTTGCAGGGAAACTGTCTCGCTGCTGATTTACCCGTTTCTTTAAAAACAAACCCAAAACGCCTGGCTAGGCGCTCTGAGGCCCTTCTCAGCAGGGTTTTTGGAATTGGGGCGAGTGTGTGAGTGCTTGTGGAGCCGCGGATCTCTTACGCTCTGATGCTATTGTCTTCACAGGAGCCTGAAAGAGTTGTCTGGGGTTCCTGCTCTTCCCAAAGGGGCTCGGAGCCACCTTAAATGCCGCGAGACTGAAGAGCAAACTTCGGGGATTAGTATGTCGATTTTCCGAGGACCAGGGTTCGCAGCACAGAGTGGAAGAAAAGGCTGGCTCTTCAGGGGTCCAGCCGGCATTTGATACCGGAGACCCCCAGGATTGCCCAAATTGCGGTGGATCAGCAAATTTCCTATCCTGCATCCCTCATTTTCAAAGAAAATAGTTTCTGTTCATCCCTGCTGGCCTTTTACTGCCATCAGTACACTGTTCCTGGTGCAGATCCTTCAGCCTCTTCATTCAAAGTATGTTTTATGTTTTTGCCAAATATGATCTCTAATTGAAAGTTTATTTTTTGGTTTTGGATGAATCTGCGGAGCTTTCGTTGTAAGAAGAAAGGGGGAATAAGACACAATGAAAGAAAAGTCCAAAAATGCTGCCCGGACTAGGAGGGAGAAGGAAAACAGTGAATTTTATGAACTGGCTAAATTACTGCCTTTGCCCTCGGCTATCACCTCGCAGCTGGACAAAGCATCCATAATCAGACTCACGACCAGCTATCTCAAAATGAGAGTGGTGTTCCCGGAAGGTAAGTGACTTTTCCCAGATGGAATTTCAGAGGCAGAAGGGGCAGGGGATTTGCCAAGCGAAAATCCTACACCACTGACTGGAGAAATTCGTACATATTTACTTAGATACTCTGCAAAGGAAAGTTTAGCTCGGCTGCTTCACTAAGGTCTTCACTGAACTCAGAATTTCTGTTGCTTCTTCGAAGCTCCCTCTACTTCCCCGTTAATACTTTCTCTTCAGTTCATCAGATTTGTTTGGTTGGGAAGCAGCCCAACAGTCCTTTTGTCAACACTTCACATACTAGGCCCAATTGAAAGTACTATTAATCCAAACATGACTTTCTTTTTTACTCCTCTTGTTAGAATTGTGTCCAGTAGAAAGCAGGAGCACTGCCAAATTCTGTATTTTTTGCCAGGTGTAGATAGACCCATGTACCTGGAGCTAGCTAAGCTGGATAATAATTTCTGTATATGTCTGAAATTTTGCAAATGAGTAACAGGCCCATTTGTGAATAAGTATGCCTGAATTTCTTCATTCTCTTACATACATTCTAAGCAAACTTATTCTGAGTTTTCAAGACATTCACAGATTATGAAACTAACTCTGGAGCTTGATGATTTGCAACTCTGGGCTTGATATTATCTGTAACATAATAGGCTAGTCCCAGAATACATAAGGTTGGATTAAGATGGCTAGCCCGGTTAGAAAACATCTTCTGGGTGGCAGGTTGGCAAACAGATTCTGAGAAAATTGTCTTATAAGGCCTAGAAGTTAGAATAGCTGAACTATTGACATCATTTAAAACTTGTATTTAGATTATCAAGATTCATCGTGTAAGGACAGAACAGCTTTTATAGAACACTGTCCTGTATAAAACCAGTTATAGTTACTAGAAAAGGACACATTTCTATTAGCCCATCTTTTCCTTTACTTGAATTTAAATAATAAAAACAGATTTAAAAAATACTTTAGAAATGTCTTTGCTGGGGGAAAGGGATTCAGAAATGTAAAAGAGGGATTACTAAACAAGCAAACAAACAAAAATTCAAGAGAAAGAATTCTGTTTATTTACAAATGAGAACTTCTGATGTAACCCCTGGAGGTTTTTGTTGTTGTTGATTTTAGACGTTTGGAGTTTGTGGTTTTCCATTAAATAAACGGATGGGCAGGAAACAGTCATTATTGGGTTTGGAGTTTCACTTTGCTTGATCATGACATAAAAGTTATTATCTAAGTCAAAAGCCTGCAAAATGTGCTCCAAGCTAAAGGAAAACTTTCAAATTATAATTCAGTTCTACCTTCAAACTACAAGTGATGTTTTAGTCATTCCCTTCTAAAGCTGTTCCTTGAACAGTTCTCCTCTGACCCTGGAAACCGCGGGAAAAAAGAAATCAAAGCCTAAAAAAAAAAAAAAAAAAAAAAAAAAAAAAAAAAAAAAAAAAAAAAAAAAAAAAAAAAAAAAAAAAAAAAAAAAAAAAAGAAGAAGAAGGAAAAGGAAGGGGAACTTAAATACTAAAAACTACATTTCCCATTCAAACTGTGCTGAGAATTGTTGATGGGATAATTACCATTATACCACACTGCCTTCTATTTAAAAAAGAGATCTCGTTGTCTTTTATACTGTCAGCGCCTACTTTATAAAAATAAAGCTATTGCGAACTCCGCTGGCCGCACTGTTCGTAACAGGATTATTAGCAGTGATTTGTCAGCCCCTGCGGTCTCAGTGGGCTCCCTTTCTGCGTGATTTCCAGCCGGTCTCGTCAATTATCGGTGCCGATGTCGCTCGCTGTTTGATCAGAAGCAGCATATGGTGCTGCTTGTGGGGCTGCGAGTAATCGCGGGAGGAGAATAGCTGGGCGGCGTTCTGGGGAGGGGAGCGAGCGGGCCGGGAGAGCTCGGGGAGTCGCCCAGCCAGCGACGCTAGTCGGCTTGGTGCACACCCGGGGCAGACGCAGCTGGGAAGATCACGGGCTGTTTTCTGCTGTTGTTTTGTTTTTGTTTTTAAAAGAGCGAGCTTTTTTTTGTTTAATTAAGTGCTAACTCTAGACATTATAAATCGCGTTGTAAATAAATAGGAACAAAAAGTAAACTCTCACAGCCAACCTCTCGTTATTTTTAAAGAGAGAGCGGAGGAAGGCTCCCGCTGGAGTCCCCTTGGTGGCCAGGACTGTCCCCCCTGGCTACTTTAACAGCGACTGTGCTTTCTGCAGCCCTCTCACCTTCCTCTCGAACCCCTCCTTTCTCTCCCTTCTGTGTGTGAGTGTGAGTTTATGGGGAGGAGAGGGTGGACGATGTGTGAACTCTGGGCACATCATTTATTTTCTCCAGCTACTGCTAAGCTCGTAACTCACCCTCAGCCTCCACCCAGTGAGTTAGACAGGGTCATCAGAACAGCTGGCTCCTAGGGATGAGGTTTTAATTTTGACGGTGGACTAGTCTAAAAAACCCCAAACCCAAAAACAGCTCTTTGAAATATTAAAGAACAACAACAACAACAAAAACAAAACCACAACAGCTTTCAAAGAAATAAAATAGTCACAATCGCAGGACCAGGGACAACCTGCAGGGGGTGCCAAATTTGGGTTCAGTGTTGACTGAAGGCAGAGAGTGGACAAGATTGGGGTCCAAGGCAGTTGGGGAAACTGATCACTTTACATTGATGTAATTTTTTCTCGTGGTGTTAGATGGAATTTGTTGGAAGATTAAATTCATCTTTACATCTGTCTTGAAGCCATCCTAGCACATAGTAGGTCCTCAATACAATTTTAAGGTTGGGATAAAGATAGGTATAAATGTCCTATCACAGGTAACATGTGGATTTTATAAGGTATATAATCTAAATAATTATTAATCTGATGACATAGCTCTAGGTATGAAAATGCTGTAAAACTTCGGATTTGTTCATATAATATTTCATCTGTAATACGCTGTAATGCCAAAGGGCTATAAGTTGAATGAACAAACAAAAATTATTGCATAATTATATTTGAAAAATAAATATCCTTAAATACAGGCAATTCCCATCCGAATACACTTTTTTCTTCTCCCAAGGTCTAGTAGCTTCCTTGCCTGGGGGCAAGTTTCAGCTTTTATTTGCCTTAATAGATGAAATTGAACTGTTTAGGTGAAAATAAGGGGGAGTGGTGGGAGAACAGAGAAATGGGATATAGGTACCAGGAATAATTAAGAAAAAAAGCATTAGATTGGAGATTTCAGAGGAAAAAGAGAAAATTAGGAAAGCTAACTGAGAAATCACTAACACTTCGTATCTCCCAATTAGTGACATATTCTATTCCAAGGTAGCTTTGCAAAGAAAAAATTGAGGCACATAGAAATGTAAAAATCTTTGACGTTATCAAAGTCAGAGGGACAGGATCTAAAAAAAAAAAAAATAGCATGACTTTATTTTTGTGCAAAATAGGACAAATTCAACTAGAAAGATATATTTGTATCCAGCTATAAATAAATTTTGACTGGGTGTGTAGCGGCTTGCATAATAAACTTTGAAAGGATCAGATATATTTTCTTACCTATAGCTATTCAGAATCTTGGTAATATCACATTGCCATTTCATTGACAAGATGTTTTGGGAAAATAAAAATAATTGCAGAGTTGAAATTAGTAACTGCTCAGGAAAGATCGTCTCTACAACAGACAAGGATGATTAAACAAACTTCCACAGACGCTTTCTATAATATGCACCTCAAGATTGAAATCCTTAATGGTGTTATATTTTTTTGAGGCAGAATACTGAAAAAGAAAAAGAGGCCCCATTTCCCACGTGGGTCAGTGATTTAAGGCTGTTTTTCTTGCTTCTTGGGGAAATGATTGAGTATTAGGTTTCCATGTTTATTTTCTTACAGAAGTTTTTCTCATTTAAAGGCCTTTAAGCACAGTTTACTGTTCCATACTGGTTTTCTGTGTTTAATTCCAGTTTTGATGTTGACTTAAAATGTGGAGTGCAGAACTAAACTCTGTGCAGAGCATTTGCAAGGCAGATTTATGTACTAAATCAATAAAAAAGGATACTTTTTTATTTAAAGGGAGAGATCGCTAATAAAACAAACAAACAAACAACAGGTATTATAAGCAATCGTGGGATGCTTTCAAGCAGGGTACAATTACCCATCTGATGATAAAACGGGGCTGAATTTCTCGAGGACAAATCTAATTTCTAGGGGAGTTGTTTTCTAGTTCTGGGGAATCTTGGAAGCTTCCACCTTTTAAGGAATCAAGTGTAGACACAGAATGTGAACCCATAGATTCTCGTCGCATTCTCGGTCCCAGGTATTTATCTGGAAAACAAGGCTTGTACCTTGCTAACACCTAACGATTTTAATGGGCCACCCATTGCCAGTCTTTGATCCCTGACATTTTAAAATTTTGTGTGAAGGAAGGGGAATCTCAATTATTTAGGAATGGTCCTGCTACTCTAAAAGTGCTGAAACAGTGTCCACGGCAAAGTAAACTTCCTTCCACGGGTAGCCCTACCGAATTGTCGGCTCCTGCGCCTTGCCTCTCGGCCTCGGTGGCTCAGGACCGACAGTGGACAATTCTGTCGAGGCCCCAGTCGCGCCTCCTGCACTGTCCGAAGCACTCAGCCAGCCAAGTCTGAGCGGTGTGTCCCATCTTCTGTCCGCAATGGCCCCAGCCAAGGGTCTAGCTTTTGTGGCCTCAGTACAGAGTCTCTTCACTCCCCAGCCCAGCCCAGGTGCCGCCCCCTGCCCGGCTCAGAGGTCCCGCCAGTGCAGGTGTGTGCCGGCCGCGCCTCCTGCCTTCCCGGCCACTGCTCCCTACGAACAAGCGGTCGTCTAAACCTTAGCTTGAGGTCCGTCTGTTTGGGCCATTCCAGGGAAGGCAAGCTAAATGCCGCCATCCGAGTCCCTGCGCCAAGTTGAACTGAAGTGGGATTCGCCTGCGCCTTCGGGCTCGGCGGCTCCAGCGCGGGCCTCTATGGAGGTGGCATCGACAAAGATGGGCCGCATTCGAAGACCCGGAGTCCCAGGGCGACATCGATTGACGTTTTTCGGCCGCCACGCCGGACTGTCTCATAAACAACCCAGTTTTAATCTAGACCTGGCCGAACCCCTCCCTCCCTGGGTTTCTGCAGTCTTTTCACGGCGGGCTCCAGCTCTGGCAGCCAGATTGGCCAGCAGGCTTGACCCTTACGGGAAGCCCAAACTAAGCCCAAACTCGGAGGCCGGAGCTCCGCGAAGCCGCATAGAGAGAAGGGTGGGGGTCAGCGCTGTGACCTTCGGCTCTACCCCACATTTACAGTAACATTAGTGGATTCCCCGGACAGGGCCGCGGTGTCTCTGGCCCGGGAGCGGCAGGCAAGAGAGGTCAGGTCCCTTGCCGAGGCAGGCACACACTGTGGGGTCCAGGATGCTGAGTGGAACAAGACCTGGCCCCTCGCGCTCGCCAATGCCCTCGGGTCAACCACCCCGGCCCCTTGGTCGGAGAGAGCGGCAGGCAGGGTGGGCAGCAGCGCCGGAGATGGGGTCGGGTGCTCCTTCTTGCGTGAATCGGCCTCCTGCCAGTGAGGCTCCAGGAGCTTGATTCGGGCTGGTGGCACCCATTTACCGCCCGGTCCCTTTTATTTTCCGAAGAGACGGGCAGCGGAGGCGCCCGGAGCCTGAACACGAAGGCCGCTGGGCACCTCAGCGGGGGGGAAAGGCTTGGACAGTACGCATTTAGCGAGAATGCGCAGGACCGGCAGTATACAGGGGATTTGGAGTTTTCAGGATTACCCCCTGGGCCAGACTCTCCTACATACTCTCAAGGGACACCCAGTTGGTTGAGACAAACTGTTCAGGGACCGCAGTGGCCTCAGCCTCTGAGGGCTTTTTCCTCTTCAGTCACCAAGTCGTGGTCAGGTCGGGGAACAGCGCCTCCTCCCCCCTCCCCCGTTTCCTGAAAGGGACCTCAATTCGTTGGGGAGGTGAAGTTTCCCGGGAAGGATTGCAAGGAGGATACATTTCTACTGAGATGTAGTGTTTATTTATTAAAAGAAAGAAAAATTTTAAAAGAACAGTAGAACACGCTCTTCTCTTCCTCCTCTTCCTGTCTGAGTGAAGGCGGTGATGATGCCGGGTCTGTAATCTATATTTTGTCAAGGGTATGAAATTCATTCCGAAGGAAAAGCTCTATCAATTTATTTTTGCTGCTTGCAATAACACAGCTGGATGATGCTTTGAGCTCACGCTAGACTGGGGCTCATCATTCATTCGCCAAGAACGGCCTAAATGGTGCCTATGGGATTAGGTCAATTTTAGTGGATCTACTTCGCCTCATTTGGTTACTAATTGGTTTCTTGTTTTATAAATCGAAATCTCATTTTCAGGAAATTACAAAACCCGTGCAGTCAGTCCATTGAGGTAATCCTTGGGTCAGGGGGTATTTAAATGGAAATGGCTAAACCGAGCAAGGAGGGTAAAGCAACAGTGAAACTTGCCTGGGTTTCACATGAAATGTGAGCTAGCCCTTTAGATCCATAATAGATACATCCCTTCTAATGCTACTTATGTAAATATGATAAACCAGACTTTAAGGGAAGAGGGGGGCCTGGGATAAGCAAAATTTATCAGCTAAGGTTAATGTGGCATATCTTGGAAATCTTCCAAAATAGATTCTGTTTTCCTTTGTCTTCGGCCACTTTAGCTCAGGAAAATCCTTTTGTCTAAAACCCGATTTAGTTATCGCCTCCTTCACAGAGCTCCTTTTCTCTTTTGCAAAACCCCGTTCCCTCGGCCTCACCGAATTACAAGAGAATCTTTAGATCTTGTTCCCACTGTAATCCCGCCGCAAAGGGAGCTAGTTTCCTACTCATTTTAAACAGACAATCAAAGGATTTGCGAATTTTCTGCGGTAGGTCAAGTGCAGAAACGAAATCTCAGCTTACCCCCTCGCCAACTGAAATTGGGTGTGCCAGCGCGCGTCACCAAAAGTAGAAGGCGAGGGGGTCCAGGAAGAAGGTCTTCAACCCACTTCGAGACTTTAGGGAGGGGGGCAATTTACTAGGACTTGGGGAGGTGCTCTTGATATTAGATCGGGAAAGCCCGGCAGGTAGACAAGAGTAGCCAGTCCCTTATAAAACATTAACCCAGACACAACCGTGAGATTTTGACGGGGAACAGAAAGAGTAGGCAACGCTCCGTGAAAGCAAAAGGCTCCTTAAAAGGTGGCGGGGGTGGGGCAGGAGAGGGTGAGGGAGGCCTCTGTTAACCTGTGCGGGACGGGCTGTTTATTAACCTGTGGGGGAAGTCTTATTTTCCCTCGTAGGCGCATACTAATAAGGCCGAAACCCGAAACAACAAACAGCCTTGGTTGGCGCCAGGAGTTCAGAACCAGTATTTAACCAGATCCCAGCCAGGGGGATTTTCAGATCATTCTGGTTGAGAGGCCGCTTCGGGTGTCTTCCGGCCGCTTTGGGAGACCCTTAAATTTTTAGGTTAAAGACATTTTGTTGGCCTTAAGTTCAGGCTTCGCACCCTTCCGAGAGCCGCGCGAGACCTGTCTCCAGTCGCAACGCAGCCTGCAGCCTCTGCCCGCTCCGGGATCTCCCGAGTGCCCTGGCTCTTTACCCCAGCCAAGCTTTGGGGTTTCAGGCCTCCGCGGGCCCCAGAGCGCCCAAGGGCCAACGTCACCGACGCCCTTGGCTTTCCCAACAGGGTCCTTTCCCCTTTCCCCTGTGCGACCACCGCAGCCAATCCCACCTGTCACTCCTTCTGAGTGGGTATGTCTGAGCCGGGATTTAAAAAGAAAAGAGCAGGTCGTGACAGAAACCAAGAAGGATAGGTTGGCTGAGACTGGAAGAGCGATACATTTGAGAAGGCGAAGGGGTGTGTACAGGTGACTGTGGCTGGGCCCACCCAGAACGGTCCAGGAGGACCCCAGCGACCAGGGCAGTGGAGTCACTCCGGGGAGGAAAGCTGGGGCGGGCTAAAGAGTCGGGAGGAGTTGACCGGGAGCCAGAGAGGTAGACGCGTCCCGAGTGCGGGCAGGGAGCATCAGTGTTTGCAGAGTGGTGGGGAAATCGTTAGATTTATTTAGATGAGCAAACACCCAGAAAGACCGGATTTGAGCTTAAGGGGCGCTCACGGTTCCTCGTTGCCAAGGCTTTGATCGCTTGCTCAGGAAGCAGCTCCTAGCCAACACCTTTTAAAAATCCAACTCTATGTTTTATTTTGAAAGATCTGCACCAACCTCATATTACAAGGCGAGTGTTTATCATTGTGTACTTCTTGTTGATTTGCCCCTTAACGCAGTGAATCACCTTTCTGAGGGGTGGGGTGGGCGAGGTCATGTTAAACTTTATTTAATGGTGTAAGAATAAAAGGATTTAACTACCTAGTTAAAATAATTTTTGCAGCAGCACTATTAAAAATATATTACCTGTAAATAGCTTAACACAGGTCTTCGGAAGTTTTTCTGCCTCCTTTTTCTTTTCTTTCCTCAAAAGGGCAATTTAGCAGACTCCATATTAAATTTTTAGAAATAAGCCACAAGAGTCTTGAGTTTTTTATATTTTAGCCAACACCAGAGAAAGTTTTCGGCAAAGCCTCCAAAGATCTTAACGGGAAAACATCAAGGAGAGAAAGAGGCGGTCTTTGTTAATAGAATACAGTACCTGGAAAGTAGAAAAGTTGAATGGGCCTCAATTCGAGACGAGAACGAAAATATTGCAAAAAGGTTGTTAGCACACCAAAGTAACTGACTTCTGAAAAAGCCCATGCGGGTTTTGTTGGGGGACAAGGGGATGGGGGCATGAGTTTTGTGTAAGGCAGGGGTCTAGGAGGGGAAAGGAATAGGGAGAAGGATTGAGCAGGGATGCTGGTAAAAGTCAGGCTGTAAATCAGCCGCCAGGGAACTGATTTTTCCGAAGGGGATTAAAGTCAGAGGCCAAGAGGAGGAGAATGGTTAGAAGCCCCGCAGCCAATCAGAAGGCCCGCCAGGGACCCGTTGGACCTGGCCAGTCTTCTCAGGTCTCTGCGGGCTGGCAGTGGCATTCGCTGGGTGTCGGGACCAATTTGGCCTCGGAAAAAGGATGACAATGAAACTCTGGGCGAGAAGCAGAGTGCCCTCATCCCCGTAAACACACTACTGAACCTACAGGAAAGTTACGTTATCAGTGGGGTGCAATGTTGGAACTTGGGCCACTTGGAGTCCTGCCAGGGAGCCCTAGGCATGGGCTCAGCCATTCCCAGAAAACTAGGTCTGGTTCCGGAGAGGAAATCTAACCTCTGCTGAGAAGCAGAGGGCGGACTGAAATATACATGTTCCCATCCCCCGCTGTCGACATCGAGAGGGCTCCCCTATGGTATCTAGTCAAAGGGCCGGCGCTCGGGTAATACAGTTCTGGGACTGGTCCAAACTGCCTGCCAGATCCAGATTCAGTAGCTACAGAACGTTTCTGTGTCTCCACAGGGCTTGGCGAGGCGTGGGGCCACTCCAGTCGGACCAGCCCCCTGGACAACGTTGGCCGAGAACTGGGCTCCCATCTGCTCCAGGTACAGGCGCAGGTCTTCCGGCAGCACATAAGCTTTGAGGGTCTGAGTGCCTGGCCCTGAGTTGGACTTTTAGTTTCTCGTAAAGAATAAAGGAGGATCTGGACTGCACGTGGACCTCTCAGAGCCCAATAGCTGCTACAAAGTAAAATTTTAGCTTTTGCAGATGATGCTTCAAGAGGTTGCGAGGGAGGCAAGGTGACAAGCGGGATAGGGGGTTTGGTAGGTAGCCTAGTCAGGCCCCATCAAGGCGACCTAACCAAGAGAGGGGGCACCATTTGTCTCCATTGGGCTGAGGGAACTTGAACACCCAGATCAGGCAGAAGAGGCAGGGTCACATCCCAAATGAAGGATTTACGAAGGAAATAACAGGAATCTGGTAGAAAGACCTGTCAGTGCTTTAAGCCCACACCTTTCCCATCCAGCTGCATCTGCAACTGGTTTTGTCTCCCTGTAGTGTCCGAGTTCCCTCTTCTCTTCCTATTTCCCTTCACGCCAGCCCAGGCTGGGTGCAGACCCTTGCTTAAGCACACCCCCCACCCCCAGATGATGAGTTTAACCGATTTGAGGCTTCCCATTACCTTGTGGTTTGTAGTGCTCACAGTTTTTAATTGCTCTTTGGCTGCTTAAGTTACAGAACAAATGTTTTAAATTGCAAAACCCCAGTGGCATTTTTAGATTTTCCACTTGTCCCTAACTCTGCACCATCATTAGTATTGTTATTCAAGTCCACTGGGAGCTACTCTCTTGGGAGCCTTGAACCTAAGCAGCATTTGGGGAATGGAAGCCAGTTTTCCCTGTGGGCTGGCATGAGTGGCATCTCTTGATGGGAGCTCCTGTTCCTACCAATATCCTATACCTCTCTCCTTCCCAGACACCAAGGAGATTTTAGTTTCATGGAACAAAGAAAGGGCTTGGGCAAGCATTCTCTCACTGACGTGGCCTCCATACCTTTGATTTTATCTAGAAAGGCATTTAACTCAAAGACACCTTCTATCAGATTTCCCTGTATCCTTCCCCCAATCTTTTCATATTCCTAATTTTCCTCAGAAACATAAACAAAAAACAAAACCCAAAGTTTCCCTGACCATTTCCAGCTCTTGCCAATTTATTTCCTCTTCTTCACCCTACATTACTGCCCGGACTGACTTACATTCCCAATTTCAATGGCCCACCCCCTCCTCATTCACTCCCACATCCCTGAAGTTTGGCATCTCTCCCACCCATCATGCTCTTCACAGGCTCCACCACATTTTGATAGCAAGAATTAGATGCTCATCTCCTATCCTAAAGGAGCTCACTCATTCTACAAATTTGGGAGGAGCAATGGCATGCCAGATAGAGAGCCCTGCTCTCATGAAGTTTACATTCTCAAGAGAACAGCTTTACAAGCCCACACAGGGGCATTGTATAGTGTACCAGGGGGATAGGTGCCATGGAGAAAAATAAGGAGGAGAGGAAGGAAGAGTGGTGCCTTTTAACATAAGAGATGGTTGGAGAGGGCCTCACTGAGAAGGTAACACTTGGACTAAGACCTGAAGGAGGTGACACTGATGATTTAACATTCTCTCCTTCCCTCAGTTTCCAAAATAGCACTGTTGCCCAGATTCTTCTCTCTCTGCCAGCTCCCTTTTGATTTCCCCACCACTGATTGGCCTGCAAATGCTGTAACTTCCCCAGGGTTCTAGCTCTATTTCTCCTGTCACAGGTTCAAGGCCACCCAGGTAATCTCGGCCAACATCAGCCTCATAACTCCTTTCTCCACATAAACCCAACTGGTTTCTCCAGTCTAGACTCTCTTCCTGAGCTCCAGATTTTTGTTTTCTACTGCAAACTGGACACATCTAAATGGAAATTTGCATACACCTGAAGTTTAGCATCTCCAAAACAAGAATGTACTATCTCCCTTCCCCAGAATTCTACTCATACAAAATCTCACTAAATCTTGGTTAATGATGTCACCTTCTACTGAATGCCTTCACTGAAACCTTGATATTAACCTCTCTCTACCACCAACTAAGTCCACATCCAGAGCCATTTCTGAATTAGATTCTCCCCTTTCTAAATGCCCCTTGTGACTACCTCATTTCAGGCTTGACCATCTCTGCTGCAGCTGCCTTCTCTGATATCCTCTTCCCCTTCCCTTCCTCCTATAGATCACTGTCTACATTCTGCCAAACAAAATAAAATTAAATGAAGGCCACATCTAAGCATGCTATTCACCTGCTTAGAACCCTCTATTAGAACTCAAGTGCTTACAGAGCAACTCCAGGTTTCTCAAACTGACATTTCAAGCTCCAAAATCTATTACAGGTGTAGCTCCTCAGCCCTGTCTCTGGTACACCAAACTAATCATCTCAGAATACACTAGATTGGCCCTATCCCCAGACCCAGATTTTGCCACTTCATTCCTTCTGTCTAGAATGCTCTTTCTTCCTCCTCCAGTCCAAGCTTCCTGTTCAAGGTTCTGCTCAAACATCAGCTCCTCTAAGGCCTGATTGTCCCCCAGGCCTCTGGTCACTCAGGCTCTAGCCCCCCTGCCTATTCAGCACTGTCTGCCTGTTCAGCTGTGTAGTCATTATAACTGTCCTCAGGCCAGTTGCCCCTGCTGGACTTCCTGCTCCTTGAGAGCAGGGTCTGACAACTCTTGTCTCTGCCTGGACTGAGGCCTTATTCATAGAGATAGAGACAGTGAAAGTCTTAAGACTTTCCTTCATGGAGAGCCTGTCAGTTTGATGTATCAATGGAAACATACACACACTTACACACTATAGCACTACTCTATGGACTTGCTCCTTGCAAAGCCTCTCATCTTCTAGACCCCCTTCTCCTGGACTCTTTCCAGAGTCACTGGCCAGCTTTCTTCTGTCTACAAACTTTAGACTGCCAGCCCTTCCATGTTGACCAAGCAGTGCCTACTGCACTGCTATTCCCAAACCCTGCTATTGCCCTTTCCATTACAGAACAGGTAAGCTGTGATTTTTCCCCACCAGAACTGCGTGTGTGTGTGTGTGTGTGTGTGTGTGTGTGTATGTGAGAGAGAGAGAGAGTTTGTGTTTTATGAATGTATTTTCTCTGTTCATTTCAGTGGATCCTGAGTCTTAGAGGGCACTAGCCTTGTCCACCACTTACTCTGGATCTTGCCCATTGGGCTGCATGCCCCAGATGCCTACAAATTTAGAATGAACAAAAGGGGCTCACGTGGCTAGTTTTCTATGCCCTGTTTCCTGCCAACTCTGCTCCATTCCATCTCTCTACACTTTTGATTAGTCTCTAACTTCTGTCCTCCTGCTCCCAGGCTTCTGGCCATTTCTCCAGATGGCCCAGAGGGCTCTCTATTCTCTCTATTTCTGCCTTCCTAGACCTTGGATGGCTTCATCTTCGTGGTGGCCCCAGATGGGAAGATCATGTACATTTCAGAGACAGCCTCAGTCCACTTGGGTCTTTCTCAGGTAGGTGAGTGGTTCACATTCCCCACTTGCAGTGTTTACAGCCAGAGCTGGAAGCAGGGGTAGGGGGCTGGGTTGGAGGTTGAGTGTGCTTCTCCAAACCTTTTATATCCACATTTTTGGTGCTGGAAATCTCATAGCTGGCAGGAATACTCTTACATGGTTCTGGGTCTCTCCATTTCTCAACTTCCCTTCTCCTTTACCTTCCACTCTAGGCCCAAACAATGGCTACTTTTTTGTCCCCACCATAAGCCAGACAACATGAGAGGAGGTTACATACTTATTTCATGATGTCTTTATCAGAACTTTGCCAGGGAGCTGTTGCTGCTGCTACTGTCATTATCATCATCATCATTATTACTGCTATTATTATTACATAGACAAGGAAGCAGAATCTTAGATGGGCTGCAAAAGATAGCAAGAAGCAGAGCTGGAATTAGAGCTGAGGGCCGATTCCAGAATTCTGGCTGCTGTCCTCAGGGTCCTGCAGTTCCCCTGGCTTAATCTGTCAGTCCCTTCACTGGGCATTCCACCGCCACTGGGGCGGCCACATCCTCCTCTTTACAGGTAGAGCTGACCGGAAACAGCATTTATGAATACATTCACCCGGCAGACCACGACGAGATGACGGCGGTGCTCACCGCCCATCAGCCCTACCACTCTCACTTCGTGCAGGGTAAGGTAGACACGTGCCTGGGACGCTCAGGCCCCTCGCAGTCTGCTTGTGGTTTTCCCCCAATTAGTCGTGTCAGAGACGCGTGCCGCCACGCTGCGGGTATCACACGTCCTGAGCTTCCCTCCGCTCCTCTTTCCCAGAGTATGAGATTGAGCGCTCCTTCTTCCTGAGGATGAAGTGCGTCTTGGCCAAGCGTAATGCAGGCCTCACCTGCGGCGGCTACAAGGTGCGTAGCTGGAAGATCCGCGACGGGTGCAGTCAGAGGGCGCAGGAAGCGAGGCGCCGCGCGGAGTAGGAAGAATGTCCCCTTCCCCTGGACTTCCCTTGAGGGAGCTCCCAGCTTGCGTCCGAGGAGCCTGGGCCAGGACGCTCCAGGAGGGCCACGGAAATTTGTGAACACCTGGGGACTACGCTGAAAGACAAAGTCTGACTGGGTCCCAATACTGGGTGGCCGCGGGGGCTATGAATTTGTGACCCGTAGAGATGGACCTTAAGGGTCCCTAAGGCCTCTGAAGGGGCGGGTAACTTTGGTGGATTCCTAAGAGTTTACGCATAGAGTCACATGACAGGTTAGAAACCAGAGCTTTAGTTTGAAGCTATGCGTCTCACTTGAATGTCGTTGAACGTCTTTAGCAGGTTTCAGGGCCCTACTTCCGATGCGTTAGGGTTGGCAGGGCCGGGCCTCTGCATTTTTAAACACGCCTAGGTGAGTTCAGTGTGGCTGTGCAGTCACTTTCCTAAGACCCCTTGGAGCACCAATAACTTTGGATCCCTTAGTGCATGGGCGTGGTCCGCAGAGCCCTTGTGGCTGAGTGGAGTTTCAACAAGTTTCAACCCCTTTTCCACCTTTTGGAGGCTCTTCCCGACTGTGGCTGAGTCTCCCTTTCTCTCCCCTGCCGCAGGTCATCCACTGCAGCGGCTACTTGAAGATCCGCCAGTATAGCCTGGACATGTCACCTTTTGATGGCTGCTACCAAAACGTGGGCCTAGTGGCCGTGGGCCACTCGCTGCCTCCCAGCGCCGTCACTGAGATCAAGCTACACAGCAATATGTTTATGTTCCGCGCCAGCCTAGACATGAAGCTCATCTTTCTGGACTCCAGGTGGGTGGGCAGGGCCGGAAAGGGCCTCCCCTACCCTGAGCGATGCCCTGCTTAGTGACTGAGAGCTTTCCTTTTAAACTGTGAGCCCCTACCCTGAGCGATGCCCTGCTTAGTGACTGAGAGCTTTCCTTTTAAACTGTGAGCCCATTTTGCAGATGAGGCGACTTAACCGGCCCTGGAAAGTGAGGACGGACACCTAGGTCTCAGACGGCTATCGAGGGTGGTGGGGGGCATCCCTGCACCCCGCCCCCGCCTGCACTCATCCCGCAGGGATTGCTTTCCGCAGGGTGGCGGAGCTGACGGGGTACGAACCTCAGGACCTGATTGAGAAGACCCTGTACCACCACGTGCACGGATGCGACACCTTCCACCTGCGCTGCGCGCACCACTTACGTAAGGCGCCACCCTGCCCCGTACCAGCCAACCTTGGCGTCCCCTGGTTAGGGGGTGGGAAGGTGGTATTTAAGTCCCTTGCAAGAGGACAGGTGGCAGCCCAGCTAGCCGGGTGGTGGTGGTGGTGAGGGGCTACTCCGACACTAGGCCCACCTAAATTCTCTGACATCCGCGGGCCGCTAATACAGGCGGAGGAAGCGTTTCTGGGCGAAATCCCCCCCAGAAGGTACAGTATTCTCCTATTGGTTTTTTTTTTTTTTTCCCATCTGTGAACCACACTAAAAATGAACAAAAACCAGGGCTGGCGCTCAGGTGCAGTGACTCTGGCTTTTGATACAGCTTTGCTTTGAGCATCATCTCCCCGGCAGGGAACATGAGCGCCAGAGTTCAGCTGCCCAGAGCCTTACTTCCATAGTTAGAAAAGCGAATCTGGAGGAAGCCCCAACTCTGTGTTCCCCCCTTTGCTAATGGTGAAGACATCTGGCCATCCCGGTATCATTCCTATAAGGGTGACCAGTGGGTTCCATGCAATTTAACAGAACAATCAATTCCTGTCATCTCTCCCTCCTGCCTGGTGCGGTTTTTAGAGCCCACAGGGGGCCCTCAATTCTCACCACCAGGGATTGCATGTGGGACCAGTCCTGGGCAGATTGGTTCACCACCGTCTGCCTCCTGTCTCCCCATCAGTGCTGGTGAAGGGACAGGTGACCACCAAATACTACAGGTTCCTGGCGAAACACGGCGGCTGGGTTTGGGTACAGAGCTACGCGACCATCGTGCACAACAGCCGCTCCTCCAGGCCACACTGTATCGTCAGCGTCAACTATGTCCTCACGTGAGTGCAAGACTGAGACCCCTTCACCCACTCCAGGCGACCCTGGTCTCTGCGAGAGTGTGGGTGGTGGCAGGGTCGGGTTAAACAAGGCTGGGGTCAAGAGAAATGCCAGTTTGACCCTCGAATGCTGGCTGCGCCAAGAGGAGGCAGGTCAAACACTTTCATCTTTTTGAAGAGGCTTTCTTCGTTATATTCTGGAGAAAGATTTAGGAGTTTTTCCACCACAGTCCATATTTTCTTTCTTCTCTTTCTTTTTCTCCCTTAACCTTTTAAGCGAACTCTGCATTAAATAAAACTTAATGCGGCAGAAAGAAAAAGAGAGGAGAGAGAGAGAGAGAGAGAGAGAGGAAAGGATCCGACGTACGGAGGCATTTATGGTTAACAAACAGGACATCTGTTTCATTTTTTCAAATCTGGGGTTTGAAGTTCTTAATTTTATCCAGAGTCTCCAATCAAAGTTAAGAGTTCTGAGAGAGTGGTTTTTCCCCCGAAACCACAAAGGGGGCTTAAGTGACGGGGAGGATCTGACTTTAACTCTCAGAAAGCACAGGGACCGGAGCGAACTCTGCAAGTTTTGGCCAGTGCCCAGGCCCCGCGCTGAGTGAGGAGTTGAGCTCCGGTTAACACCTGCGGGCGCGACTGATAGGGAGGCTGCGGCGGCCTGCATTTGAGCCTTATTCATTCTAGAAACAATAATCGTTTCTGGTTGCCAGTGTGGCCCTGCAGGCTGATCACGTGGCCTGGTGTGTTGCTAGTGAAGAAAGCACGTTCTGTATATTGTTTGTGAAAGTCGAATTGCTTAGGGTTGAAGACTTTATGAAGAACTCTTGTGTGTGCAGTTGCCACTCCCACCTCCCCACCCCTTTTTTTTGGTAGAGGTTGAAATTCTTGTGATTTTAGGGGATCTCGTGGGTTGTTTACGTTGGAAGCTGGAAGCGTTGACACACCAGGCACTTAGTAGAATGCGATGTAGACATTAGGAAGTTGGCTAAGGGGTGCTATTTGGAATCAGACTGTACTATAGGTGATGAGGACTAGATTCATTTCACGTTGTTTTAAATTGCCAAATTAAAAATGTAGTAGTTGGAAATATTATGCTTGGCAGTAAGACTGTTTATTCCACGTCTTGTTTAATAAGTAAATTTAATTCAATAGACTTAGAAAATGAATTTGGCTTAGATGAGGATTCAACATTCAAGAATAGTAGCTGGCAATTAAGAATAATCTTTTCATTTTTTATCTTAGAAAACAGTGTTAATATATAATTTTTGTAATAGCAAGAAGGCTGTGTATTTTAATACAGAACAGATAACAATATTTTGGTTTTCATGAAAAAGAACCATCAATTTTATGAATATAGTTCTTCATATTATTAAAATAAACACAAGAGAAAATGGCAAGGCATAATTCATAAAATAAGCCACTCTGTGAAGCAGTAGTATTAAAGGGTGAAAAATTATGTCTGCTTACCGTGGAAAGGAAACGGACATTCTTTAAGAAGGTGCTTTGTATGTCTGAGACATCACAAGCATTACACATACACTCTGTTCTCTGGTGGGTGCCTGCGGTTAGTAATCATTTTTTATCAAACAGCAGGGTATATAGTCACACAGACCCATATAAATGATCTGAATGCAAGTAAGACCTCCCAATGGGTAAACTTAATTTATGTTTGGAGTCATTTTGAAATATTCTGTTTTGTTTTCCAGTAGATAAGTGTACATTTTTTTTTTTCTGTTGCTTCGGTCATTCCTGACTTTACATACTCCTTCAGAACTGCAGGATTAGACGATCAACTTTATATCAAATTAAAAAAAGATGTAATGGGGATAAATAAATGATTAATAGAAGGAAAAAGAGCATGGTGCCCATTGTTAAAACATTTTATACCTCTGAATGAAAATGTAAATAAACTCACAGAAGCATGTATACACAGCACACAAGATAAAAAGCTGAAATTGATTACCCTTTTATGAGTCTCAGCTTCAATTTCTTGTACAAAAAGTCTTAGGACAATTTTTATAGCTGCAAATATGGAAATTGTTTTAGATGAAATGTCATCATGTGGCTTTGTGTGTGTTGACAGGATTTTCATAATGAACAGGTTGCAGTTTGTTTGATGTGCATATCACACATCTGGCTGGAAGTTACAAAGTTACATTGTCTTAGCAAATTAAATAGATGACTATTGATTCTCCATGGTTGTAGTGAACTACCACATACTTTTGTTTTTAGGGCTACTTCCCTATGAAGCCTGAGAATGACAAGTGAATTCTTTCCAAATACACCACCTCAAACAATGTACTTAAAACCACAAGCTCCCAAATAGTTTGACTTGCCAGATGTTTTCCAAATTTAAACATTTTAATAGCATACATTTTAAAGGGATTTTTATGTAATGAAAGTAGAGATTTTAAATAACCATTGGTCAAATGAGGTTGTGATGTTTTGGTGGAGGCAATATTCATAAGCTCATTGATTTTCTAATTTCCTGATTTATTGCTGATGTTAAATATGTCTAGAAAAATAAGTTACTATTATCTAACAAAAGCAACTATGAATAGACTTATTTAATAACCTTGCTTTAATAAGCAGTTGCAACCGGGACTATAAGAAAACTGAATGATTTTAGAGGCAGGTGGTATATGAGCTGGTGCTTTTTACTTACTTTTGTATGCCCATCATATGTTCTGAAAATCTGGAGAGGAGAGTGAAAAGATACTATGATTAAATTCTGAAAATTCCTTTAGTTTTTCTGGGTCTCTGAGGTTCAGTGAAGCTTCTATAGTTCTTCATTAAACCCTCACTCCAAAACAAAACAAGACACTCATCAGTTCATGATTTTCTGTAAGACACACATACCCTGTTAGCTTTACTTTACACATTTAAAAAAGATTTTTCTTATGAGTGTCCTCAGGCTTTGAAATATCTGTTAAGTATGACAGGCCCTGCTCTCTGGTTACTTTCGAGAGGGTAGGTGAATGGAACTAGTGTCTAGTAACAAGGATGTTGGGGAAAGTCCAGAATATATGGAGAGTCAAAAGAAAGTATACTGTGTAGAGACCTAAGTGATTTTTTTCTTGAATTCATATTTTCTTGAGTTTGTTTAATTAGTATTATTAATTATTCATAGCCAGTTCAGATGAAAAACTTTAGTTTTTAATGTAAAGAAAATTGAAAATGTGGAACGCCTAAAAAACTATGAAAAATAATTTCTAAGAAAATTAAGAGTATTGGTTCTATTTATGTTTTTAGACTACACACATTTTTAAAATAAGAAATATTCTGCCACTTTTAAAGATAACCCAATGAAGTATAAAATTCCTATTTTAAGATATTTTAAAATATAAACTTTGCAAATATAAAAGCTGAGAGAGAAGTAAATGAATATTCACATTCACATAATCTACATCCAACAACTGTTAATATTTTCCTGTATTTGCTTTATATCTCTACCTATATGTGTGCCTATTTTTAATGTGTATTTTTTTTTCCTACCAAATCATTTCAAAACAAGCTACAGATATCATGGTACTTCATCCCTGAATAGCATTTTCCTACATAGCCACTGTACCATTTATGATGGCACATTTAAAATGTTCAAAATTATTATGTGTAGAGCTTGCAAAAATATAGTTGAGAGCTGTTTACTGGTGCCATTAAAAAGAATCTGCCACTAATATTCATCAAGTACTCATTTGTGTATGACCTCAATTAGGCTGATTGATAGATGATATTTTGTGAGCAGACTTTTGTAGGAGAGTTCTAAATGATACTGCATTTAAACTAGATTTCTAATAAGACTTGCAAGCTAATACCATTCTGATACTATGTCTGGAACGTAAAAGAGAGAGAATAAATTTAGTGAGTGATTTGGAAATTTTGGAATCAGAGAGATTTAATATCTTAACTTCTTTTTCTTAGCAAAGACGGCCTCTCTGCTTGTTTATTTTCTAAGTTTAGGATGAAACATTGCTTTTCTAGAAAATTTCACATGGTGTTTTAGAGTGATTCGCTGAACATATATGAGTAAGTAGTTTTCTGTGTTAAAATTTCTATTTCTGTGTTACTAAAAGCAGAACAAATAGAGGCAATTTACATTGATAGTGTATGTAACATTTGCTGTCTACTAAATACCCCTTTTGAATTCATAAAAAAGTTAGGGCAAATACCAAAGGAGATATACAGTACTTCCTTTATGTCAAAGAAAAAAAAAGGGGGCATTGTAATTACTGAGGTTTCCATACTTTTTGTTGTTGTTTGCATATCATAGTATGTTAACCATAACAACTTATCATTATGAGAACCACTGTAGTTCTTAGAATTAAAAAGGATTTTAACTGTTAACGTATTCTGTAAATATAAAACCTGAGATAGCCTCACTATACAGCAGCAAACATTAAAATGTTCATGCTGCTTTTCTCTTTTAAGTACATTATTGGTGCTGAGTTAATTTGGGGGTTTCAAATTTCAGAAAATTATTTATTTAAAGACCAGTGATATATTATTGTTATTACCATGAGTTTTTAGAGAATTTTTAAAAAAATCTTGATCAATAACATGGTTGTTGAGTAGATTTTATTTTCCTGGTTAGCAAAATCACTCTTATATTATAAATAATGTAAAATGAAGCATCTTTTCACTTAGCAAGCTACAGAAAATAGAAAATAATTTACTCTTATGTCTTAGGTCTGTGCAGCATTTGTATAGACTTAATCTTTTTAATCTTCCAAAATAATAATCATGCACTAATGTATAACCATAAATTAGATTTGATCCTTAATTGTGTTTAATCTTTACTATGATAATATTGAACATCAGAGTCACAGTTGTTCTTTTCAGATGATCTTTCATATAACTTAATGATTACAAAAAAATTCAAGGCATATTTGTATTCATGTTAATTTTATAACTACCAAAACAGTTAAAAGGAAGGGCTGGGAGATTTAGTCTCTTTTGAAATACAGAATACCAGTACCCACTTAAATAATCTTATCCTT